GCCGAGCCGGCCCCTGAGGTGCCACCGATGCTCTCGCAGGTGGAAGTGGACGACAACGGGAGGATCGTCGATGCCCGTTTCAAAACCTTCGGCTGCGGGTCGGCGATTGCGTCGAGTTCGCTGGCGACGGAGTGGGTCAAAGGGAAAACGGTAAGGGTCCCCACCGGCATCGGAGGTGACACCGCGGAAAGCCTTCAAAGCTTCAAACCTGGTTGTGCTCTCTGTTGGGACCACATAGGAAACGGTGGCCTAGGAACCGCAGTGCTGACTTCGGGCAGCATGGTGCAGTAGCTTAGAAAGCAGCGACTGTCAACCCTGTTAGTGGTCTGATTTCTAGAAGTATAGTTGCCTTTTCCAAGAGCCTCCATTAATCTGCAGGGAAGTACTTTGTGTTTTGTGCAGAAGGCAAAAACATACTGATCATGGGTTCTGAAAGAAAGTTTAGTTACGGAGTGTCTTTAGATCATTTATACTCTCTTTCTGCCAGACAAGGAATGCGTTTCTATATTATGATAAAAGGTAAGCGTAGAGCAGTCCCCCCAATGGCACCTAGTCTGTAACACTGGTATGCTTTTGTATATTCCCGCCACTGCTCGGTCTGAGACATTCCTTAATTCCGACATCCTTTGCTGCCGCGGCAGTTGAGGTGTTCTTCCTTGTGGATTCCGTTGGCTCTGGAACATTAACGCGCTCTTACAGCAAATGCCTGTGTAGCCCGTGTTGTACCTCACATGACCAGTGACTACACCCGCACTGCGTTTCAGGTTGACGAAGCGTTGAAAATCAAGAACACGGATATCGCTAAAGAACTCTGCCTTCCTCCAGTCAAACTGCACTGCTCTAGTAAGTAAAGGACCAAACGGTGAAAAATCAAACACAAACTTGTATTTGAGAGGGAGAGTTCTGGGAATAGCGCAGATGCTTCTGAATGGTGTTTTCCAAATAAAGTTTCTGCACACGGAACAACTAAAGTTATCCCGCAAGAGAAACTTGCTTACGTTCAGATTTCGGGGTTAGTTTACGAGTTTTCAGATCTCTTTCGTCTTTTGCACTCCGTAGCTCAGCAGACTGATAATAAGTATTCAGATTCTGACATTCTACTGCTGAGATGCCCACCGGTGCTACCTGCAGTGGTGGTCACTGCTGGCCGCTCTGGTTTTTACGGCATTTGTTGTTCTCAACGACTTTTTATTGTCCTTAAAATCCTTCTTTTGTTTGTAGTGTTGGCTGAAGACGCAATCAAGGCTGCCTTGGCTGATTACAAGTTGAAGCAGGATCCAAACAAAGAAGAGTCAGAGAAGAAAGCAAACAATGCCTAAACTGACTGTAAAGCTTGTTCTCATTCCACTTAAATTTGCAGTGCAATTATTTTAGCTATTAGTAGGATCCTGCGCACTACTAAATGAAGCTGTAAGATACGCACAACTTACGCACAACGTGTCACTGTTCATGTGTGTACAGCCACTCTTGTAGTGCTTACACCACCGGGATGTGGGTATTTCAGCAGCCTGTGTCCTGTCACCACTGTGTTTGAAATGTTAGCGTGAAGAAGACTGCTCAACTGTAGAGAACTCAGCGGCTTCTCTCTAGAGAGAAAATCCTGCTGTTCCAGTACTGGAAGGGCTGCACTTTTTTGGAAAATGTATAGTTTTGCCTAATACTTTACAGAATTTAGTGGGAAACATTGCCTTGGTCTTAATGTTTATGTGAGAACTGCAGATCAGTCTGTGTATCAATGCAGTATATGCACGTGGGGCAGCGTCTCTGCCTGCAAACTACAGCTGTGTCGGCGTTTCATTTCGCCATCCGTGTGCTTGTTCCTCTTCTCCGGGGTGCCGGGGCGCTTCCGCAGGCACTAGAGGGCACTGACAATACAAGCAAGTAGCGGCTGGGTGCTGGGTGCCACCGCTCCGGGAAGCGCAGACCAGCGCTGGCAGGGCTGGCTTCTGCTCGCATCCTGTCACGGC